AGAAACAGAGCTAACTAGACTTAAACAGCAGGCACATTTTACTATAGTTGATTGTTTTGCTGGTATTCAATATGGCCCCCAGAGGAGAGAATCTTAAAAAAAATGTACAGTTACAGCACTTGAAAGTCCTCTTTATCAGCGATATTGATAAAGAGCAGACACCTTCAACTTCTCAGTCCGATCCCCTTAAAACAGGGGGGACAGTGTTGACTGACTGAGCTCCACAGAGTCATTATGGTAATGCTGCTCCAGTGATGTGATTTACTGGGCAGAAATGTAATAAAAGCTTAAGGCTATAATGGAGTCTGTCATATCAACCAGCTTGTCAACATAATTGCCACTTCCATCTGCAATTAGATCACACTGCAGTCGCTGATTTCCATTTCCATGTAAGCCATTCAGCTGTCTGATAGTCTACAGCAGGTTAGAGAGCTCACTGTCGTCCTCAAGGACACTTTGGAGACAAAGGCCGTTTCCGAATAGTCACAGTTCAGTAGGCAGTACATACTTGTCAGTAGGGAGTTTCAGTATACTGAACTTTCGTGGTCATTCAGTATGCATTTTTTGGGTCCACCTCAGTATACTGAACATTTCAGAATGGATACTAACTTCCGGGTTTTATGCAGTATGGATCGGATGCATCCTTTCAGGAAATTAATTGTATTTTACCACCCACAATGCTGTGCGAAATTAACGTAAATCGTCACTTCGCGTCCGCCTTCAAATCAAAACAAACGAGCGTGGATTAATTGAATCAATTTTTAATCTAGAGTTAAAGTCCCGACTGAAATCACTACTTTTAATTCACAACAGAAAACATAACAAATGTATACATTATTATAAAACCTTTCCCCCTCTATTTAAATAATGATTTCACTATTTAAATGCGTCTTTATTGGTTGATTTTATATTCTGTATATTTCTGTCTTTCATTTGTACTTTCCTTTATGTACTGTATGTTATTTAGTTATTGAATCTGTCTTTTACTTGATTTACATTGTGATATTGTTTTCTTTTTTGACTGTATATGCACATTACTCTTCTTGAATAAAGAAGAGTAAAAAGAAAAACAGGTGGATGCGGCCGGTTAGGGAAACGTAAGTGACACCACTTTCATACTGAATGAATGTAGGAACAAATATCTTCCTACTGTGTGCGCCTACTGAATAGTAGGTACTAAAAGTATACAGCACGGATAGTAGGTGCTGTCTACTGCCTACTGACAGATTGAGTAGGTACTTGGCAATTCGGATGCAGCCAAACTCACTGTGTGTTGCGACCTTTGAACTTGCAGATGTGTGTGAACTCTGAAGGGTGGCTGTGGCTCAGTTGGTAGAGTCATCACCTCTTAACCAGCAGGTCGAAGGTTCAATCCCCAGCTGAGCAACATGTCCGTTGTGTCCTTGGGCAAGACACTTGCCCCAAATTGCTCCTGCTGCTTCAGTGGCGGTGTATGAATGGGATTAGTTTCTTCTGATGGATGATACTACATAGCAATCACTACCATCAGGTGTGAATGGGTGGGTGTTACATGTGGTGTAAAAGTGCTTTGAATAGTCAGAAGATTAGAAAAGCACTATATAAGCTCAAGTCCATTTACCATTTAAAGCCACAAACATGCTGTTTGTGGAAATCCTCCTTGTAGTTTTATTTATTCATACTGTTAAAAAAGTTTCCTCTTCCTGTCCCTTACCTACAGTTGAGTCAGCCTAAACTTTTGCCTTTGAGTCCTCTTTTTCACGTTTCTCCTCAGTTTTACCCCTGGCTGGGTTCAACAGAATAAAGAAATCAACTCTGAAGTTGTTAAAGTAATTGCCAAGCTGGCACATCCCCAGTTCCTCTGCAAAGACACAGCGGGCACTTCAGAATGTTAATGGCCACCCTGATCCACGGAGGGCAATGTAGGGCTGGCATATGCACAGCTAGTGGTGTGTGTGTGTGTATGTGCGTGCATGAGATAGAGAGAGAAAGTGAGGGGGTGCACATGCTCCCATTAACGATTTGTCCATGAGACACAGATTTCTTGTTCTCTCAGTGACCTTCTCTCTCTCCTCTTCTTTCCCCTTTCTTTTTGGGCATCTTCCAAATGTAGAAGTTCTTAACACTAAAGAGTCAAAGTGAATCCTGTTAGTCTGAGGACATGGAGGAGGAAGGAGGAGACACTGATGCTGTTAAGAACAGCTCCTGAAGATGATCCCATTCAGTTGGTTAGAGGTGTATTTTGGTCCCTCGGCAAACACGGACAATGATGTCATTTTCTTTTCCAAGGAGTTTCACGATTAAAAATCATTGGATTAGAAGGAGTGAGGCTGTACTGAATATCAGCACGGCTGTGACCTTGTGTTAAAAAAACCAACATGCTGATATTCAGTACAACGGCACAATCCAGAGTGTGATATTAATCTCATACAACAGTTCTACAAGCAGCAACAGCAATAAGCAACAACAGATTTGAACTTTTAGGTTATTTGATCATTCATTCCTCTCCACCGACACACAAAGTTCAACAACTTGACTGGAACTGGACAACAAACAGTGTATACATTTATCTGGCAGTCTAGTGACTTTGTGTATGACTTCACATCACTGCAGACCAGCTACTATGTAGTATTTATTTTGTATGTTTCCAATCAGCATGAAAGCAGTAAAGTAAGATTCTGCTGACAGTTGCTTTGATGGCCTGTGTGATTCAGAGGTACCAGCTTGATAAATTAAAACAAAGACCTTCTACTGTAACGTTAACAAACTGTGCACACATATTCAAATGTATGAATAAAACCCCTTGAGATGAACCACCTCGTTTTCGATGGGGTCCTAGACCATATTTACAGTCCATGTCCTCGACATACAATACCGACATAGTTATGAGTCTGTGTGATGGGATGCTTGTTAGTCAAAAAACTTGGTTGTCACAAACTGTAAACAATGACTAAAACATAAGAAAACTTCCTTGTATGTGTTCTTTGATTCAAACAAAATGCCATGTCTATTTATTATTAATTGCAATGTGTAATCTTCTGTTTGCTGTGCAAAGAAAGTATTCATTTGAAAGCCTCTCCATGACAGCCTGTAATGCTGCTGTAATCCGTATTTTTGCATTAGCAATGGATCGGCTGGTGTGTTGTGATGTTTGCTGTGAAACTGGCAGTAAGCTCACCTTTTAGCTCATTGACCATATTCACTCGGCTGCCATTTTCCTGTGACATCATGCTCAGGGTGGGAAGTTCAAATGCCGCTTGCACTTTTAACTTCTCTGTAAGAGGTTGTAGGTTTTTAAATTAGTGAAAACCGGGAAAAATCAGGCATTATTTCAAGTGAAGACAACATATTTGATAACTTATTAGCTAGCATCATAGCTAGCCAAGCTAATATTGGCCTACAATTAGGCCAACAGTACGTAGTAGCTGGTTGAATGCTAGCACTTCTATTTAATTGGGTTTAATAGTGCAAATGGCCTCTCAAATTTGTTGTTTTAATTTAAATTTGCCCTGATGCCCCTCCCAAATGTTTTCTATCATAGTGTGGTTAATGAAGATGTTGGTAGCGGTAACAGTTATTGAATTCAGTGACGTACCAAACATGGTGTGTCATTCAAAAAATACTTTCCCAACTCAGATTAAACTTTGGATACTGACCTCTCACCCTGAGTCACATGAACATTTCAGTGTGTTTCCTTGAGACTAATTAGTTTAGTTTCAATAAAAATGTAGATGTAAGGATTCATTTGGAGGGAGTTGATCTGGATCAGCTGAAATGGAAACTCCCTTTCCAGGGCTACTAATTAGACTGTCTAAAAATAACTTCAGTAACAGGCTAAGCAAGTAAGCAAAAAAAAAATACCCCCCCTCCCAACCCACTGTGTGCTTAATGTGCAAATTCGCAATTCCTGCCAAAGAGTTGCTGCAGTGAGAAATAAACAGCAGTGCTACTGTCTGCACTGCCAATTATTGCAAATACACACACAGTGTGCGAGTCTGAGGAGAAGAAGGCAGAAGATCAAGGCTTAGGAAGACGATTACACGCCACAGACCTGAGGCAGACCTGCTGGCCTTAATTAAATTTTACCATTACTAAGTAAATTAATAGAAAACTAAATGTTCTTAGAGCTCTTAAAGGAAAAGCCTTGCAGCTCTGTACAGTATACGTGTCGTACTGAATCTGCTATTATGTTCTTTAAGGTGTAAATAAAACATCCCTCCTGACACAGTGACATGCTCTCCAAACCAAAACGCAGAGTTTAGTTGTCAGATAAAAGAATTACAAAGGTTATTATTTTAGGTAAGAACAGGAGTATATTGTTGAAATACACAAGACTGTACAGGGTAGGGGGGGTAAGGGTTTGGCTGGTTAATGTTGCAGTTAACTTTTGTTTTTTTCACTTCAGTGTGTCGCTTACTTCGCAGACATGTAACGTGGAGGCTCTGTTGTGTGACTTGAGACATGACTCTCGTCAGACTTCACCTACGACCTTCACAACCTTCACATCAGGTTGGATAATAAACATGTCCAAAGCAGATGACTTCCTCCATAAAGGCCGAGATAAAGCTAAGGAGAAGGGTCTTGCTCTGTCAAGTAGAAATACAGTTATGTGCCACAAGACCATGTAAAAAACACCTTGTGCTCAAAAATACAATAAACCCTTTCATTTATTTTCTTGTATGTTGCAATATTCAAAATCAATTGACAGTTGTATATTATTAGAACTGTATACATTGATTATGCTTTTGTGCCTTTTTTAGAGATAGGACAGTGGATAGAGCCAGAGACCAACAAGAGACATAGTGGGGGATGACATAGGTCAGATTCAAACCAGGCTGACCACTTGGAGGACAACTGCCTCCGCACCTGGGGTGCCCGCACCAGCCACCAGCGCCCCTACTGTATACAGTTTTGGGTTTGGATTGGTTTTACCAGATTGTTATCGATTATCTAATTCAGTGGATTAGCCAAAACAATTCCTGTCTGGTAAGTTTGTCAAGAACTAACAATTGAGCTTCCAGAAATGTTATAAATCCTGTTTTGTTATGTAGTATTGATGGATTTCTTGATTAACAGTAACACATGTAGGAATCTTTCTTATCTTCAATGCATCTCCATTGAAATAAACTCTAAAAATGCCAAGGAAACTTTTTCCATCATCTTTCCATGGCTGGTCCACAAATGTACGACTCCCTTGAACCTTTCAGGCCACTGAACACACAAAACACAGAAGAGCTGGCGACTAGCAACCCACTTTAATCCCTATGAAATAGGTTTTTCTTGATGGACATTATTTGGAAACAGGAACACACACGTGTTCCAATATTTCAGTTGTGATGACAGAAAAAAAAAGGTAAGTGACATTTACAAATTGAAATCACAATACACAAGGCCTGCAGTATGTACAAGGTGACAGTGTTGGGAAAGACAGTTTATCAGTAGTTTTATAATATCTTTGTAGCACCTCCTTAGCATAAATATAACTGTATCCTGGAAAAGAAAGATGTGTTGTCCACACTGGGAAATATTCCAGAGAAAACCTGTTTAAAATAAAGATAATTAGGTTTCCAATCGGCCAAGTTTGTGAATTCTGTTCAGAAAATAAACAAACAGGATACAGCAACGGAAAAAAACAGACCACATTAATTAATATACAATATTGATTTATACATCTAAACCAATAATGATACATCATTTTCAACATTTTAGGGTTCCTACATATTTTCCCCCTCTTCCAAATATCATACATTTCCCCTAACTTTATTTCATCCTTTAAATTGACTTGATAGTTTTGGTCAGTTCATCTGCCAACAGACAAATGTGCGCCATCACTCAGGGTGTCAGGGACTGTTACCAGGACAACAAATATTATTCATGTGCCAATGAGCGTTTTCTGGGCTGTTCTATTTCTTCCTTGAATGTGTGAAGACTAAGACGTTAAAATGTATTTTGTTCCCCCACATGTAGGAACCCTGAGAGAGTTTTTGGGTGTGAAAAGTGGAGCCGCCAAAATGACTTAATGACATCAATACATAAAGGTCTCATCTGTTCACTAATGTGACACAATCTTCACAAAGATTCCAATGCATCCTGCAGACAAATCTAAAAGTGTTTGCATTCAACAAGATTTTTTCTAGAACAAATAATTCTTTCAATATTTGACTAAGACATTTAAATACTGAGTACCCCCTACAATACACTTTTTTTTCTTTTACCCCATCCCCATGTTTACCTCTTGCAATATGACAACAACAACAAAAAAAACCCACTTCGCTGAAAATATCCTGAAGATGGACAATGTGACACTTTACTACCTCCACCAGTTTCGAAGCCACGAGTGGCTGCATTGAAAAATAGATATTTAGTTGCTGGTTCTTTGATTTAAAAAAAAAAAAAAGAAAAAAAAGGGAACAAGCGAAGTCCACTGTGGCCTTGGTGCTGAGAGGCAGTCATTGTAATTAGCTTCCTGTATAAAGAAATCGGGACTGTGCTGTTATTTATTTAACATGACGAGGTCTGGAGTTGATACCACCCATTCATAATTATATATGCAGAAGAAAAGCACAGCAGCTGACTGAAGCAAACAAAGGCCTAGAAAACAACAAATAATCATAATCATAATAATGTTCAAATAAAAAAACGGTGTCCTCTTTTAGCCATGGCTCCAGAAGAGGCTGAAGCACCACTGCAAATACATTAAGTCAAATATAGAAAAGTAACATGCATTAAAAGAGTGCTCTTGTGTCCGTGTGTTTTCCTGCTCTGTCCTGAGCTTTCAGAGCAAGTGCACAAAATGTTTCTGTCCATTAATACAGCACTCGTTAGAATCCATCTCTGTTAGCTTACTTCTGAGTGGCTTCTTCCTCAGCCAGTGAGGTTGAGGAATAATATAGTGGAGTTGTGTTTTAATACAGGGGTCCGGGTCCATTGTCCTGAGGGAAATGTGAATTGAGGAGGGTCTCCATGTAGGAAACGAAGCCGCTGCTGTGGATGTAGCTTTCGGACATGTGCTGTGGAGGCAGGGGAGGGGACGGCACAGACAGGAGGGGGTCAGAGTTCAACGTCGACTGAAAGGGGGTCGACTGGGGAGTCAGCGTGGGGTCCGATGACAGGGGTGACTCCGTTAAAGCGTTGGTGAGGGCGAGGCTCGTGTCCATCGGGGTCACAGCGTCCATCTGAGTGCCATTGTTTAAGGTGGGGGCATCCTGCGGGGTGGGGAAGGGCTGGGACAGGAGTTGTGAGGTGGGCTGTGTGTTAATACTGTGATCTGCTGCTGCTGCTAACGGGGCTGCGGTTTGGGGATAGGCTGGGTTGTGAGTGGTCTCCATGGGGGTGTCAGCGGGCGGGGCTACGTTGAATGGAAGGCGGGGGCGCTTGGCTGCTTGAGCTTCATCTGCTGGGGGAACCCCCTCTTGGGGGGCAGGTATTGCCTGAAAACAGACAGAACAGGTTCAGTCTGAGCCCATGATGGGACAAACAGGGATGTGTCTGAAATGACTTCTTATTAACTAAAGACCAAAGAGCATGAACTGTCCGCCATGTATAAAAGTCTAAAAATCTGAACAAGAAAATATATGAACCAAATAAATGTCATATACATGACATTCATAACAGCTGCTTGAGTTTCATTCCTGTTTACAATTACCAACAGCCTCAGAGTTAAGAGTGAAGAATGTCTTGAATCGAACAAGTTCTGTTTTTTCACAAACTTCTGTTTGTTCACACAACAAAGAAATGTTTCTTAGACTTTTTCATGATGCATAAAACACACCTTCCCATTATTAATACCAGATTCACAGTTAAATCAAGCAGCTTCTTTGCATCTACAGAGGTCAACAGTGTTTATCTGATGGTTTCTTAAAGTGCAAGATGCTTGGTTGAAATGTGCATATTCAAATTCAGAGACTGTGAAATCTGACGCGTTTCAAAGTTTTCTCAAAACGATTAAAGATTTTGACTTTCTTCTGACACACATTATCATGAAAAGCTTCCTTGGCATAAAAAAAAGCACTCTCATTTTCTCACCAGATATTTATGAAAAGCAGCAGCCTACACATTTTGTCCCACACGCAGGCCTTTATCCATTGTGGGCTGCAACACGTCGGTTGTTTGCTTGAATAAATATTTATTTCATCTGAAACTGCTTTGTGGTCTTTTTATTGAACACTTGAAGCTATTGTTGGGCCACCCTTTTTATCATTCGCCTCTGCAAACAATTCTAAAAGCTACAGAGTGCCTTAAGTGCCCTCCTTATATGTTTTATTATAACAAGACTGAGAGCACAACGCATGGTGTGTGAGCTGAAAGCAGAGTGTCAGTGATAAACTCACCAGTCGGGCTCGGACTCTTTTGGGCAGCTCCTGGTCCAGCTGATGGATCTCTGAGTGTTTTAACATCAGCTGAGTCTGGTCCTGAAACTCAACCTGGACACAACATTGAAACTTCAGATTAATCCACTAACATTTTCATGTGGGTTGTTTCCTGTGAGTAAAGAGCAACACTCAACGACGTGACCCATAACAATTACAGCGGGCGACATCAGAAGGAAACTCATCCAATCATCAAAGGTTAGAGCTGGAGAAAAAAAAACAGTAGCAGGCTGGCTAAGTGAGCAAAAATACTGAAACTTTTAACCAGAAAGTCACAGATGGAGTTCCAGTGATTACAAATGGTTTCATCAAGGACCATGTGTTCTGTCAAAATGTCCTTGACCGTCGCACTGAACCCCAAAGCTGCTCATTGACTGGATGAGAGCTTCAACTTAGTGTTTTTAAACGCACAAAAAAAGGGGACAAGGTCAGGGTGGTGCCCCTGACACAGTGAACAGCTGCAGGTTTGTTTATAATTCATCAGAACGGAGCTCCTTGTCTCTTACAGAACGGTTAGGTGGCAAAGCTAGGGGCTACAAGATGAGAGCAAAGAAAGACTCTTCACTTTCTGAAGAGGAAATCATTTCAAACCACAACAAATGAGTCTGTAGTGTTTTAGAAGATATGTCAGTGATGGTGAATAAAAGGTCAACAGCAGCACTTGTGCCAGTTGGTGTAATATGCTGCACATTCAAGTATTTAAATGAGCAGTGAACTCTTGTCAGAATAAAGAGAAGACGCAGGCCTGACAAGGTTGAATAGCTTGAATATTTATGTCATAGTGTACAAACATTCCAGTTCTGTGTGTATGTGTCATCAAACCATTTCCACGTGTGCTCACAAAAAACAGTGTCGAGGGAATATCCAAGATTAACAACCTCACTTAACCCTGACTGCTAATGCATTCCTCTATCTATAAATGTAAGTGACTTTCAAGATGTCTGCCCTTGACACCAGTCTCAGAGAATCATCATCTCCAATTGTGCATGTCCCACTTGGTAACCCTAATCGTAACCCTCTGCATATTTTCCCTGTGAACTCCCCGGCATGCACGAGTGAGGCCGAAATCTCTCCACTTCACGATTTCAATGTTACGCTGCATCAGAATGCTCCGCGGTAATCTACGAGGGCAGCCAAGCTTTTCACACATTGATAAATACCAGGCCGAGAATCAAACCGGAGGGTGGCAGGGCCATTAGACAGAGGACCCTGTTACCAAAAGTTCACAGGTTTAATCACAACAGGGTCCCTCCTGCAGAAGAGCATCAGATAAAAATGTGAAGATTGTGCCATGGCTCATAAAACCCTTCTGTGTGTGCATTTCTACATTTCTAAATTCAGCTTCTTCTCCGCCCACTGTAGCAGGGAATTACAAATGTTGCCTGAAAACACTGAAGTGGAACAGCAGTGGTTGAAGAATACAATTGTTCCTGTTCTTTTTCTTAAACACACATTTATCTATCGAGTGTGAGATTCTTACATCTCTTTCTCTCCTCTGCTCAGAGATTCAGAGAGACCCGAGATGAGACTTTCCAGCCAGAAAACCTGACCCTTCACCTCTTCTTGTCCATCCTTTTTTCATCACACAGATTTACTTCAGGAGAGCTGTTTTCATAAATGCACTCCTGAAAATATCGAGATTCTCCTGACCTGGCTGTTCACATAATCAACCTCACAGCGGGAGAGTATCCCTGTCAGACTGGAGGGGGGGCAGGGGGGTCTCCTGAGATAAGACTTAGCATAAAAAACATGACGCGGAAGTAGCGGATGAAGCAACAGAGTCTGCTATACGAGGCCATAATGAGAATAAAAGAGCGGAGAACAACATACTGACGAGGAACAGAAAACGTAATGCAGCTGTTTAAATACGTGCACAGAGATCATAGTTTCAATTTAACTTTATTTGTAAAGGGACCACGTGCAATGAGAACATAAATGTAAGCATTTGATGCATTGCACCAGAGTTAGCCTTAGCCTTATTTACATTTGCAGTCCCTTGGCAGGTAACAAATACAACATATAAAAACATCAAGCATCACTTAGCAAGTAAAGGACATTTAACAAATAACTATGTATTGCACATGAAATGTCCCGCACGCACGCACGCACCCTAACATCTAAAAGTGTGCGCTTTCTTTTTCTCACCTGATAAAATTTGTGGGTGTGCTGTCTGACAAAGGAAGCGTTGAGGACCTGACCGTCAGGCATGCTGACCACAATTAACTCTCCCACCTCGGGAGGACCGCTGCGCAGGCAGTCATGACTCTGGAGGAGGAGGAGGAGGGAAGAGAATGAAGATGCAGATAACGAGTTAGAGATGGAGAGATAAGACACTGCTGAAAAAAAAAAGTCTGTTAACTGAATTAAAAGTCTTAAGAAACTGTTTCCCTGACTCGACGCTAATTTGTGTTGTTTGAAAAACTCCTTTCATCATTCATCTGGTGAACCTTAATCTATGAACTCTATCATCAAATGTATTAAACGTTCAGAGATGTTTGTTACTGAAATATGACAGTGATTCATTCAAACTTATTTTAATTTACTTTTACTTATCATGTTTTATGTTTGCTCTCGCTACAAAGCACAGAACTGTTGCTAGGATATTTCCCTGTCTTTGAAACAAGGATCTATATATGTTGAAGTTATCTCTATGAGTAGGTGTCGGTGTTTAACTCGGCTAGAAGAAACGCTCACCATTATGTTTTCAGGGTGCAGGTTGTCGCAGTATGAGCCGTCGTCGAAGTTGACCTCGTAGTACGTCTGAGCGGCCACGCCGATGATGTCACAGTGGTAGTACCAGCCGTCAACGTTGCGACCAATCACCCTTTGGCTCACGTTTGGACCTTGTGGGGTTTTTGGTGCTGGCCGAGGCTGGACAGAGGAAAAACATACAAGACTGAAGCATGGGACAAATTCAAACATATTTAAATCAGATACAGTGTGTGTCTTTATGTTACTCGTTTTGAAATAAATGGTCAAAACGCCAAACGAGTAGAATGTCAGTAAGGGATAGCAGCTTCAGCATAGATCGACTCAAATCAAAAAAAAAAAGTTTTCTGTGAGGGGGACCTTGTAAATTTTCCTTATAAAAAGTTTAATCAACAATAAAAACAACTTCTATCTCCCAACATGCTAACGTGCTAAGTGAGAACAGGATATCAGAAGCACGCTGAGTCTGAATCTAAAGGTAACATGGAAATTCTGAATGACTATCTCTGGCTGACTGTCTCCAAACCAAGACTCTTTCTTTGCTCCTACCTTGGGCGGGACCCTTTTATGCCGGTGGCAGGTGACGGAGACCACGTAGGGCCAGTCTGCGGGTTTCATGACAACTCCGGCGATTTGGGCGCAGGTGACATGGAAGGAGGTGGCACAGTTCCCGTATGAGCACTGGATGCAGGCGCCGCGGTTCTGACTGGAATTACTGCTGTGACAGAACACACACTTCTACAAAGAAAAGAGAAAATGAAGAGTTGAGTTAGTTTTACAGTGATTCAGTCCCACCTCCTCTGCTGTTTTGTTTTTCTTTAACATAAATATTTAATTGTTATCAGAATTCTCTTCAAGATTCTGTGAGGAACATTCAGGTTGTGTTGATTTTGGCGACCCCTGTGGACAAAGCTGTCTCAAATTAATTTTGCCAGGATGCCAGAAAAATCAGCCAGCTCACAAGGCTGATGGGAGCTAATGTTAGCCTGGAGGCTAGATCTAACACTACTGATCAAATGTGCATACGCCGATTTAAATCATAACTTGGGAGGGCCCATTCACTGGACCTTTCAGGGGGCCCAGCCATTTCTGCGGGTGGGCAAGGTAACAGCATTGACAATGAGGATGTATAGAAAAAGTCAATCTCGTTGCTGACAGTCGTGTTTGCTTTAGAACGTCAAAGAGGCATCAGTATACGTGTCAGTTTATTTCATAACCAGTTAAAGACTCATCACAGGAGCTTTAAGGTCCTAATCTTCAGACTGCTGATTGAAAGCAATGGATTGTTCCTTCTTTTTCTTTTGCCAATTAAACGCGAAAGTTGAGTTGATTTCAAGGAATCATGCGAGATGGTGGATAGTAGCCTGCCAAAACACTGGTGGTGTTCACAATCACAGAGCCTCTTCCACAGCACATATCTCACTCCAGTGTTTCGGTGAACTTGCTGTTGACACAGGCTTGTCACAAAAATGTCTTGACAAGTGTCCATGCTCTATTTGCCGTCAATGTCGATAATATTCACAACAACCACGAGGAGCGGTTTCCGAAGTGATGACGCTTCATAATTGTTAAAAACCATGTGGTTTTTCTGGTATAGCTTGCTCTGAATTGGCAGGATTTGTAGGGTGTCTCATGATAGAGGGACAAGGACCACCTTTTTATACTTTTTGGTACTGTAACAATTATTAAATGAAAAAAGAGAATAGTGCTTGTGAGAGCATCAGTGCTGGCAGCCTGGTGAGATACTCCTCCAGACTTCCCTGAAAATGTCAACTCTTTCTTTGTCAACAACTTTATACGTGTTATTAACAGCAGCGTGAACCGTCACTGTTGCACCCCAAAGATAGTTTTTTTTTCTTCATCCTTTTTCTTGCATCACTTCTTCAACTTCTGCTCTTGCACAATAAAACAAGGACTTTACTTTTCTCCCTCACAGGGCTTTTTTTTCTTTTTGCCTTTTTTTCCAATTCTTTTATTCCATCCCTACATTTTGAGTGTGAAATTACAACCAGCCAACCAAATCTTTGCCTTCGGCCGGGATCCTGGTCTACTTGGAGACTTTTTGACATGTACAACCCTGCATGAAAACCCTTCTTCATTTAATTTCATGTTGAATCCTTTTCCTCCATGTCTACCCCCTTATTGTCACACTTTCCTTAACCCATCTCTTCATGTAGAGAACACAGAAGGAAGAACAGAGACAGGCTTGCAGAAGAGATGGAATAAAGAGAGAGAATCACAGCATGTAAGAGAATTTCTTCTGTCAAACTGAGATATCATGTCACTACACCGGGGGTAGGTGTGTTTAAAGAAAATCTTCCTTTCAGATACTAATGAAAACATCTATATTTGAAGAAATCACCTGCCATTGGAGAAGAAAAGAGTGGATTTATGGATGTCCTCCTCATGACACCATGGTTCGATCTGCCAGACAGACTGGAGCTATTACCTAAACAGCTTTGACAGCTCGCTCATCTTGTGCTCCTGGTATCTTTTGGTTCACTTGTTTCATTGTGATTATCTATCATCACACATTCACACACTCTGTCTGCCCCCACTCCCTCTCTCACCCGTCTGACTCCATCCTCCTCCTATTGACAAATCACAGCAGGAGCAGATGTAGCCTGGCAGATCAATACAAAATATATATTCTTTATTAAAGTGCCAATAGTTCATTTTTGTACCAGAGTGACGGGGGGGGATGTTCAACGGCTCACAACAGAGCTATGTGATTTATTTCACCAGCTGGCATAGTTTGTAGTTTTAGCCAGTACACTTTTCCAGGCAGTGAGACGAGAGCAGCAGGAGCATGATTTATACTCTGATACATCGTCGGTAAACATATTGTCTTTCTCAGGTCAGTTTCGCCCATTCGTCTTGACTATGGTCAACTCACGAGTTTCGTTTTCATCGGGGGGGGGGAAGAATGAGAATTTGAATGAGAGCCCCTCCCCGGTGGCAGAATCTACATACTGCACATTTAAGTCAAAATGTGTTTTTTTCTTTTTTTTGACTGCTTTTAGTAGCTCTGTGCATCAACTTAAATGTGTATACTGGATAACAATTTATATTTGCTGATTTTATGTATTTTATTATTGTCATTTCTTTATATATAGTATGTTTAGTTGTACAGATATTGTATTGTGCATATAATTCACTAATTATTCTTTCGGCTCAATTTTTCACCTGGGGATTACTGAATTGTTTATGATTTAAATCATTTTAATCCTTAGTTTTGTATCTTTACAAAATTGGAGTTCCGGGCCTTGCTTTAGGAAATCTAAGATAACACTGCACACTTAATCTACCCTTTAGAAATAAAATGTTCAAAAATTAAACCAGATGTTCAGATAAATACACAGCTTCAAAGTGTTTTTCTGAAAATTACAGGTGAGTGGACCTAAACCTGGAGGTGAAAAACAGCTAGAAAGGTTGAATGATGATTTATTGAAGTGGCTTGCTCGTCCAAGCTTGAGGCTGTTTTCTCAGAAGAAAATACACTGCAGATTTTTTAGGTGCAAGATACTACCTCAGGGAAAGGTATGTCTTTGGAGGATTCTGCCAGTGTTACTGTGCCTGAGAAATTCAGAGAAAACTAAGACAAAAGCTGCTGTGTGAAATCTCTCTGCGTCTGAAAACAACAAATGTTCAAAGACAGAAGGGAAAACACACATAGATTGCTGAACACGGTGAAATTGTTTCACTTGTTTCAAGAGTTCATGTTCTCAGTTGATCAGCCTAGTCATCAGGACCATTAGACCGCAGAGTTTCTTCTCGTGGCGTTTCAAGAAGCGATGGAGGAATCCTGCTTTGACAGCAGTTGGATGCAAATGTCACCCAGCTTGTCTTTGATAGATTATTCAGAGAGCGGCTGCGGAAGATAGGTGACAATATTTGTAGATTTGTTACATTGCACCAGCAAGCACTGCTGTTCCCTGTGAAGTGGGATCATGTGAAAGGAGGGGGAAGAGGGAGACTTAGAGAGAAGGGACGAGTTGTGTTCAAAGACGTGGACGCAATGAGAAAATTGCCTTTCGCCCACGGGATCGATGCACTTCATTTGGCGCAGTGAGAGATGACGGCTGATTATTCAGCTACTCCCCTCAGCACACATGTTTCACCCCATGTCCTCCACTTGTCTTAAAAGGATGAAAAAAGATCAATCCAGCAGGGGAGGATGGGTCCAAACCGAGAGAATGACAGATACAGTGAGCAGGGAAGACAGAAAGACAGAAAGAGGAGAACTGAGAATGTTACTGTCCTGTCCTCACGGAGAGAGAAACTCACCAGATTTTTGCGTGATTCTGGGACGGCACTGACGTCCACCGGCTCCCTCTCGATGGCGTTGACGAAGCGAGCTTCAGCCACAGCTATGGCGCAGATGACATGGACCCAGCTGGATAACAAGACACACCATAAAACATCAGGCTTTGGATGATGCACAAACAAGGCCAAACATATAACTCAAACAGCTAATTAACATGTGAATCACTACCGGTATGTGTCCTGCATCTTCTGCCTTTTCTTCAAACTGAAATCTGCAGAACTACCAGTAGACTGATTTTGCTGATATCTCATTTTGAAATCATAACCGTAATCGTAACTTGGTTAACTTCTATTTATTTAGCATTTATCTGTTTTATACAAGATGTGATGTTATTGTAGGTAAATGTTTGTCTGATAAGCAGGAAGAAGTGGTTTTAAGACTACACTTTTCTTTCCACCATCTCTAAAGCTTGGCTCAGATTACAGAATAATCAGGCCGATTTGAGGTCCGATTCCCTCTTTCTGAAAATAGTGCGGGATGTTACCGACTCACAGCTGCTCGGAACAGATTATCTTGTAGAGCGAGAGGTATAACGATCCAATCTTAACGCCCCACGATCTGCTCAGAGATCGTTGAGGACGCCCCAATTTATTTCAAACATGATATTTAGGATTTAATCTTGATGATTACGTCATGAAAGGGTCTGGCCGAAGTCGTGTGTGACTACAATAACCGCGAGAGAAGGACAGTAATAAGTGGACAGTAGTGGCGACCGGTGGCAAGACGCAATCTGTACGGGTGCGTTGGACAACTGTAATGACAGTTACAATTTAACCTCCAACTCTCGCTGAAGAACAGACATGTCGTTCGCGTCCCCCAAGACATTTCTTCACCCAAAACTTGCTTTGTTTATTTTGTTTTCCCTTAGCACAAAGCATTAAAAGAACAAATTTACCCTCATGGTCCATTGTTTACATGCGGTCACCTATGGAGGTTCATTCCTTTGCAGTGATGTTCATATCTGTGTTTGCATGCTTGAGATTATGTGGTAGAATCTCTGTTAATATTCTCCTTTTGTATGTGATGCTAACCGGACTCAAAATCGGATAAGATTTTAAAAACTCCTGCAGCGTGAGCCAGGCTTAACAGAACCCTCTGGTTTCCGTCAAGTCATTACAATATCAGATATATATGTAGTCATAGTGAGTTCTTGGTGACATTGGAATAGAAGGTTCTATTCTTTGTTTTATTAAAACCCAAATCTATGCCATTTACCGTTTGTCAGTTGTAGTCTTCAAAGCTCCTCCGCGCAGGTTACAGAGACAACACTCCTGAAAACACACAAAGCACATGAGGATAACGTTTAGGCAGTGAGCAGACGCAGCCACATAGACCTTCTGAGCTCTCATGGCTCATCTCTTGGTATTTCGTCGTTATAGCTGCCGGGGAACATAATCAATCCATTTTAAATACTGCAGATTTGACGACACATGAGTAAATGAACTCTGAGGGACTATGATCATGTTTTTATAGACTTTGTTGTATAATTAAGCTGCTGCTCACCACTGTCCAGGCTCCTGCTGCACACCTGGAGCACATCCAGGGATCACTGACACAGTCTGGCTTCACACCGTAACAACCTGCAAGAGAGGAAAGATTGGCTTCAAATCCTTGTCTTTTAACATTTCGTATTTGCTGTTTCCATTGCAACTCTCTAAACCTACACTAATATACTGAATGATTTTATTGGCTAGCGCACACTAACACCATGTGGAGCAGAGGGGTGGAGCACAGAGCGGGTGCTTCTAGCAGGTTTTTCTGCTTCATTTCCTCTTATCAATAGCAGCACTGCTCCCCCAGCTGAGCCGAGCTCATGCTGGATGACTAATGAACTGCTTTAGGGATAATCAGAGCCTGGAAGGGTCAGTGTGTGTTTGTGTGCAGTATTGACTGAGCACATAGGATGCACATGTCTATGTTGTAATTGAACTGGTTGTATGTGCTGTTTGCAACACCAAAAAAAAAAAAAAAAATTAAAAAAACATCCGTATGTACGAACATTTTGGGAAACATATAACCTCCAACAGGTCCAACCAACAGCTGACTGTCTGGACACATAAGTGCAGAAGGCAGGGCATAGGGTGAGAGAGCAGGTGTATGGTGTGCCAAAAGGCCACTGTGTATATTTAGCAGCCTCTTAGCTAGTTTGACCCGAGTCAAAAACAGTTCAGCCAAGAGGCCTCACTCAGAGCTGCCACAGGGGAATTGAGCCGACAAGTTGTTGCACTGTTGTAGCAGAGTGTCATCCGCTGTGCTTTCTATTTTTCCAATACTTTTTCCAAGAAAAAAACAAACAAAAAAACAACAACAATGTGAAGAGAGAAAAGAAGTGGAATGCAAAACCTTTTTATTACCCCAATTATTAAAACAAAGCTGACACAGCTTTACGAAGCACCTTTTCATCGAAATACATGTTTAACAATCCAGGTCATGATAATTCTACATTCAATTTAGGATGACCTTTTAGGATATTCTGCCTGACTATGCATGAAGATCTTATCATGTTAAATACGGGTACATTGTAAAAGAGTTACACTTGTGTGTTTCATTGTTTGTTGCAGCTACAAACCCTTTCATATTGCATGGTAAATTGACTTTCTCAAAATATCTGCCAACTTAAGAAGAGGCAGATTTAGAAGACCTTGTAATAACTTGGAGTAAAAACCAGGCTGCTCTCAGTGACTGGAAAATCTTCAATGTAAAAAGCTGGAATTAAATTCTCTTTGCTTGAAAGTTTCCTTGCAGCTGCAAGAGAGTAGACTTTTTCATAAACAGCACATAAACACTGTGGAAAGCTGTGGTTTATTTTTATTTAGCATCTTTAAAAAAAGCCCACCAACATTTTTGATATGCAGGGGAACACCCACCTTCTTCACTAACTAGTACAGCTGTCCTCAGGTGTTTTCACTGCATTGCACAGCGACACACTTTGACAACCTATGTTTTTTTTTTCCCCCCTCCCCTCAATGTTACTCCTTGCTGGATTTAGAGTTGTATACTTACTGGCATGAACCTGCATGTGGCAGGATGAGCAGCAGAGCAGAGGACTGGTTCCATCCTCTCCAGTGTGATAGTTGGTGGGTGACGGCTCGGTGTTGCCTGCACCCACACTGAAGCACATCTCCGACACTAGTGGACGAGTGCGACTGCCAGGACGGGGAATGAGGGTGCGCTGGGAGTTATTCGGAAGCATAGAGTCTTTTTGTGGCTATAATAACAAGAGAAAAGAAAAGATGTAAGTGTGACTATTACTATAAATACACCTCCGTTATTGATACTAATACCACAATATCCCAACTACTACCCTGCAACAACTACAGACAACTGTCACTGCTATCACTATGAAGACTTCTTTCCTGGCTACAGTTGACAGAAATGAGCTCCTGGTGCAGCGTGTGGCTTTACCTTTGTGTAAGGACAGAAAAGTGAGCAGATAGAACAGTGTGGTTGAAGGGCTGCCACTGCATTATTGAAAGCCTTCTCTGCCAGGAAGTTGGGGGAGTGATTCTGCCACAGATGCTCTTGTTTCTTCATGTCGCTGTCCAGGGGCATGGGGGAGGACAGCTCTGTGGGTAAAGGACACAAGTTGTTATTCTCTAAAGCAAGACATCCACAATCGGATGAGGGTGAAACATACTGGGGAGACGCTGGAAGATTCATTATTGGGAATGATTTATTTTTCTCTAAAGTGCATGAGAAGCATTTTTTTTGGAAAAGCATGGGGATCGTTTTAAAAAGGGAGCCCTTGCCAAGATACAAAAATAGCACACTGTATTCCAGACAATAACAACAGCACTCCTAATATAATTGGCTGATGAGCACAAATAGCACAGGCATCAACAACTTGCTGTTGTAGGTCTGGAATCAATTTGGCAGGGAAGCTGCCTGAAGCTGCTGATCCAGATTGTTTGTTAAAACCTGGACAAAAGGCAGCAGGAGCATTTAACCCTTTCTCCTCTCCCTCCACCACCCGCCCTCCTGAAGGAAAAACGTAGAGTCTGGTCCCCTGCTGCAGACTTTAAGTGACTTTGAAAGCAGGTAATTGGAAGTCATGATCCCCGGATCAATAAGCGTCAGTCAGAAAATGAAAAAGGGAAAAAAAGTCAGAACAGAGGGAGTGGGAAAAAAAGCCTCTGCATGTTGATTTCATTATTCCCCACAGGGAGCTTTAGTCCTGCCTGTTTTTCTCTCTATGGATCAATAATCAAACGAAAAGAACAAGTCTCTTCTTCATTTTAAGTATGGTGACAGAGAGGACGGTGAGTGGGATGAATAACGGAGGGGACAGAGGGGAAAATGATGACTATAGATGAATAATGGTGAGAGTTATTATTCATGTTTCTATATTTATTTATTGCAGAGTTATATCAAGTCCTTGTGTATGGGCTTACAAATAAAGGGGGGCTCCCATTTAACAGTACGGTAGATCAATTTAAAACATATATATCTACATTGATAATAAAAATACATTCAAGATTCACATATTATACTCCTTTTCAACCAGTTTAAATAAGTCTCAGAGCACCCCAAAACATGTCTGTGAAGTTTCTTGTTAGAATTCCTCTCTGATCCTGCATTTGATCATGCCTATAAAACCCTCTATTTCTGCCCTTCACAGAACAGGATTTTTTTGTGTCTGTAGCTTTAAATGCAAATAAGCTGCGTCGGACCACACCCCCTCTGGACGAGCTTGGGTGGAATGGGTTTTCTTGCATCATACCCAGTTGTTTAGGGTGAGGGAAGACTCAGAGGGCAGACCAAATACCTAGCTGTGTGAGTGTCACCCACCAGGGGGAGGGATAACTGCCCTCTGTGATGTCACAAAGGGAAAATCTCCAAATGGCTTGTTTGAGCACACACTTTTCGAAAAAGTGGAGCAGGCAAAAGACGGAGAGGATGGACTTTTCTCATAACTGGGGTGTTAGTAGACGAAATAGGGACACATATCTGTGTTGTAAAAACATGGTAAAGTATATTTTGCATAACGAGACCTTTAAATGAATTCATACAAACCTTTGTCGCCTGTTGGTTCTTTCTTGACGAGGGACAAAGGAGAGCGCATGGGGGGCTTGCTGAGGGGATGACGGCGACTCTTTTTGACTTCTGTTGGCATCTTCATCTTTGAGTAACATGCCTGATACAAAAAATACAGATTGTGTCATATCAGATTTTGTTTTTTAACCTTTAAATAAACAGCTTTGTTGTGGGCAAGTAATAAGTACAGCCACTTATTAAAGATGTATTTGTGTATTAGTTTAGAATTTCTGCTGTGCTAACAAAACAATGTAAATCTAGAACTCTAACACTGTTTTAAGACCAGCCTGCTAAATGTCTCTCCTGTTAATAAGGGCAAGTGTGCTGCTCTGATTGGCACGTTGACGTAAAACCATTCAAAGGACAAATTAAAATTGACTTGAAACAGTAAAAGCAACACCTTGCTGAACTCACATCTGGCTTGATGTCTGCTGGGATGTCACTCTGTCTGGGGCTTAAAGGATTTGCCATCTCTGGGTGACCAACGACGGGGTTAATTGTTGTCCTCATGCCAGATGTAGCAAACTGCTCAAAAACTTCCTGAAACCCAGTAGTGGATTCGATGGCATTTAACATCTTCTTTCCCTTTTTCTGCTTCTTTCTCTCAATGTCCTCCATCAAGTCCTGTGGCTTGTTCTCGAGTTCCGGTGCTGGCAAAAATACATGGAGGGAAAATAGTCAGGATAGTAGAAATGACGAATCAAAAAACTCTAATGGGATGTACTGGTGATCCCAAAAACATAATGAAATATACTGTGGGAGTGACTTTCATGAAACTGTAATGACATCATGTAAGAAAAAGTCCCTTTTATATTGCCCGTTCAAGGCGGGATATTTACGCCCCTGTAACCTCTCACCTTCAATGTAAATGTCACAGAGATGAAACGGTGGGACAATCAGTGGAAAGGCATTACAGGGGCTTTAATATGCTTTGTTAGTTTACACTCTATGCATCCTGTTTCCACAATGCAGCAACACACAATCAAATGACACGCTGGGACACTAGTATCAGACCTTGTGGAATCAATATAAAAAGCGGACTGACAGCAGAGCTTCATCACAAGACTCTTTGAGAGTATAGAACCGCTTACTGTATTTTTCGTAAAATAATTACAATTTCATGACAACTGTTGCCAGGTAAAGACTCTAAGAATGTTAAGCAGGGGAATCAGAGTGTCATTGCTCACACAGGGTGAGGAGAAATACAAATAGTAGAAGGGAGTGTTATGAGAGCCTAAATCACAAACTATACACAACAAGCTTCTGCTTGTTATGAGAAGGTGTAAAAGATTTAAAAAATGACTGCTAAATGTAGAGGCTCCATGTTGTTTATTTCATGTTGAGTTGAATTCTCATTATTTTTTGCTGCGGCTGCAGAAGGTTAAAGAGGATCGGAGACGCAGCTTGAAATCTAAAGAAAGAAAATGTGTTGCTTTGGACCATCTTACAATAACGCTAGTGTAAAAAAAACCCACCTTCCTGTTTTATGTCTTTACATGCGGAAATAGCCGCCCTAGCAGCAGCCTCAGCAGCCTCCTGCTCCTCACGCTCCATGGCCTCCAGGGTCACCATGGCCTCCCGGGCTAAACGCTCCTCTCTCTCCTTCCTTCGCTGGGCCTCGCGCTCCTCCACCTGACGCTGGTAATCAGCCGCATTCAGCTCAATGCCTTCCTCTGCCAGCACCTTTACCTCCTCCAGTTTCAGACGACGAAACTGCTTCATTTTCTGCATGGCTCTGGAGTGGTGCACAAAGATTGATTAATGATAAAAGAATCTTATAACATGCATAATGTGAAGATGAGTATACGTACATTATATGTGCACAAAGTGTAACCTGTGCATCACAACCTGACACTTTATAAAACTCAGGTGGTTTCTGTCACTCACCTTCGCAGGAGGTTTGCGCGCTGCGTGACACGATCCTCCCTCCAGCGCTCTAGTTCTTGGCTGCTGAGCTCTGTTGCCTTAAGGTGATCCAACACCGTCGTGTCCCTGCCCTGCTTCCAAAGCTCATAGCGATCTGGCTGCAGGCAGCGCACAAACACATCCATGGAGATCTTCACCATGTCCTTACGGCAGGTACACTGGAGAAACACAAACAGAGAGGGAGCAGATGACTGTAGAGCTGCAAAGAGCATAACAAAATTATATATTCAACGGTAAAGAAAACTTTACAGAGGAAGAATGCTGGTGTGTGTCTACAAATAGAGCAGATGCTACAGATGACACTTTGAGCTACACTTCTCATATTTTTGACTGAGAACTCAGCAGTGAGCAATGAAAAGAGGAGATAACGGTTTGTGGCAGATGAATGAGGAAGCCAAGAAAACATGAAGGTAGAGGATGGTTAAGGATGGCAGAGCAGCAGTAGATATCAAACTGTAAAGATAGACTGCTTCAGAGCTGAAATCTAATGTATTCATTAAAGAAATTGTAGAGTTGTAAAAAAAAAAAAATAATAATAATAAAATAAGAATACATCTGAACGTGTGGTTATATTCACAGCTGGAGAGGTTTGAATCTGCAATGACAGGTTTCTATATCTTTAACATGCTCAGACTTTGGGAGTATGAAAATAGCATTTATTAATGTACACCTCACATAACTGATGATTGATTTCAGTACATTTAGATCCTCACTATGGATGTTACAAATTCATTCTGACGGCCTACAAATCTGAAAACTGTAGACTAACAAGGATTTTTTAAAGATTTATTTTTTGTGCTTTTTGTGCCTTTAAATGGAGAGATAAGACAGTGGATAGAGTTGGAAATCAGGGAGAGAGAGAGTGGGGAATCACATGTCGGATTTGAACCTGGGCCGCTCGCTCGGAGGACTATAGCCTCCAAACATGGGGCTCGCACACTAACCACTGTGCCACCAGCTCCCCATAACAAGGATTTTTAAAACTATTGTTCTCATAACTGCGCTATGTCTATGAAATATGAATACATAAAAATAGTCAGATCTGTAAAAAAAGAAATTATGATTGAGGACAAAACAAATATTAAAGTGAATTTGATGAAAACAAATCCGTGCAATGAAAAAAAACTAGAAAAAAAAAAAAACGAGTCAGTGTAACGGCTAGGATTGAGGTTCATGTTGTCATGTGCAGAGCTCATGAGTAATCAATACATCAATTAAAAACACTCACACCTCAACATGCCTTGACAAACCTCGATTAAGACAATAGAGGTGAAATAAATAATAAATCGGCTGACTAGTGAAGGGAGAATATGTAGAGTGAGAGATGTAAAATGAAACCCAATGTGCTGAATATAAGTGAGGGGAAATGACAGGTACAGCAGGAAGAAGTTTGAGAATGCAGGAAACAACAAAAAATAGGGATTGGAAAAAAAAAACGAGGGACAAGAAGGGGAGATGAAAATATTTTCTTTGTGCCTTGCTTGCTGTATTACATTCTGGTCCTATTATTTCCTGAGCTGTGCAGAAAGCCTTATGTTCAATTACTGGGAACACAGCAATTCTCCTTCCCCCAGAAAAAAAAAAAAAAAACAATATCCAGCCTACAGCTCATGGACACCACTTGACAGACGGAAACATTCAAATATGGCGTGCGTGCGTGCGTGCTTGCGTGCGTGCGTGCGTGCGTGCGTGCGTGGTTGTTGGCTGTTTGCGCAAACATGGGCGAGCAGAGGGGGGTAAGTGAGCATGGCTGCAGCTGATTGTTGCTATCATGAAAGCTTTAGTAAGACAGACACACACCAGGACGTTGCAAACACAAAATTGAAATATCTCCAAACTTGATCGTAACTTCAATGTCCGATTGTCTTGTGTTGTAGGAAATAAGCACTCATTTATTTAAGAGGTTATGGGGATTGCTGCCATCCTTGAGGACTTGGACAAGTTACACTTTATTATCATTTGAAAACTTAATTAGAGAAGGGAAACAGATTTGGCGATGCACAACATGCGGGAAAACAAAACTCACCCTGAGGCATGCAGTCAATGAGCCCTGAAGTATACTTGAGCTCCTAATGAAGTGATAGTGATTGAGCCTAAGAAAGGCTGGGGGACACTCAGAGGAACAGTGGACGTAGTGGATGTAACAAGTACCAAATTAACACAAAGTTTTGACTGGCAGTATTTTGAGATATTGATTACTTTAAATTCTGTATGTTTGTTTGCTTAGTTCAAAGTGCAGAGATGTGCGCAGAAATCAGCAGAACGATAAATTACAGAATGATAAACGATTGGGGAGGTAATTAAAAATTGTAGATGTGCAAAGCACATTCTATTCTGCACAGCAGGGCTGTGTATCATCCAGCTGCTCATGCTGTTTAAACTGTGAAATGAGACTCAACTTATCTGCACACTCATTTGCTCGTGTCTGTTCCACAAAGGGTTTTTAATGCTGCAGAAAAAAGCTGACCAAGATTAATTAATTTGTAAACTAAATGTGTCTTATTTTTTCACATGCCTACTTATTTCTAACCGCCATTCTTTATCTGTTAATATACACCCCACTTTCACAAAAGCTGCATTGAAATGCAAACAAAACAGACGATGAACAGTCATTGATGTAGAAAAGTTCAGCAGTGAGTTGTGTTTTTTTTTCCTGCACAGCTGTAGAACTGACTGTGTGCATGACAAACAGTATAAACAGAACTGAATCGCTGGATCTGTCTTGTTTATGTTGCAGATTTTTGAGGTAAATGCCAGCAATACTTCCACTGTGACGAGCACACTCATTTCATTGCATGGCCAGAAGTCTCTGATCTACTCCCCACTAAAAGAATGTCGATCATTTCAATATGGCCGCCCTCTCGACGGACTGGGTGAAGCAGAGCTGCTCTGGTATCTACAGGGTAAAGGGTGGATCCTTCTTTTAGATAAGCTCAGAGTAAAATAGTCAATGACATAAAAAGTGAAATGTGAAAAATCAAATACCTTGATTTTGTTCTGCCTTGATACCTTTACTAACTTCATCATAGGGGACCATGGTGTTGCTTTGCTGTTTTAATATACAAGTATGATATAAGAAGTGATTGTTTTCGCTGCCTTTTTCGATCTGTGATCTGCTGGGGATCAATGTGGCAAATGGTGACTTTGGACAGTTTCACATCTTACAAGCACCTCAAGTGTGACATGACAGGTTACTGATGTGAAAATGAAAGTTTTTAAATATACATAATTTTAGTTTAACCTTACTGAATCTTGAAAATGCACACACCCCCATCCCTCGAAAAAGACTAGGTCATCTGCAATTCCTTTATTGAGACTGGAAGGATGATTTCAATATCCCCCCCTTCTGAAAGAAAGATATTTGTCGAAGTTTACCGAAGCCGCAGCAAAGGACAACTGAGCAAAGGAGGATTTCCTTGAGGAATACCACACACCAGGAATTTAAATTCAGCATCATGTTGGTGCAACACACAACAACACATATTTTTAAATAATCTGCACGACCCACTTTTGCGATCTAAAGTGGTTCAGGGAGCTTGTTGCTAAGCGCCTTCAACGTATCTTACAATAGATGCAGTAGTGTATGAATCAGGGCGGCTATTAGATCCCTACAAAAGACAATGAAACTTTGAAGGAATGACAAAGAAATGTTGAACCCTAAATGACTAAAATGACACGGCATGTACCTAACGAATAGTCAGAGAGGTTGGGGAAAAGGTTAATTAAGACTGCAAAGTCTGAAATAAACGTGTTGTGTCAGAACAAACCCACACAGCACATAAGGACTGCTGACAGTCAGCCTGTGATGACCGCTGGTGTGTGTTCGCTTAGTTAGTCAGACAGATGGGTCAGCAGTTGGGGAGCTTGTATTTAAGAAGACTGAGACATAAAGCACGCTCGCTCTCTCCTCCTCTCTGTCGAAAGCTGGCAGCCCCTGAACAGTGACAAATTCGATCGGGAGCCCCATCGCTCACTGTCCTGTTTGGTGCTGACAGACTATAGCTCGCCGTGGAGTGGGAGGGAGGGAGGGGAGATAGCCAAACGAGTTAACAGATGACTGCTTAAGCAAAAGACAGATAGAGAGAGAGATGGAGATGGAGGGAGTTAAGTTAAAGATCTAGAACCAATGCAAGACTTCAGTCTTGACTATCAAGTGGCATAGGAAAGCTTTGTAGATCTAGTCTTTGTATTAACAAAAAAGACTCCAAAAAAGGTAACCAGCTGAGATCAGTTTATTGACATGTTGTGATCACTCTTGAAATCTAAAGCTGTGGCAAAATAAGACGCTGTAAGTAGCCGAGTTTGGATTTATGAAGCACCGTTTCAACCAAACGTACCAGCTTGGTACGATTTGGTTATGGAGGACAACCAGGAGAGTTCTACACCTCCGAGGTCATCCATGGGCCACGCTACACTCTGACATTAGTTGCAAAAAAACAACAAAATCAGCCTTGAAATGACTCACTTTGAAAATCCACAGGATATTGTGGATATACATATGGTGCTTTGTGTTTGTCATTTATTGGCGCTTTCACACAGGAAGTGACGAGTCTTTCAACCAATCAATGGGCTGCAGTGTGTCTAGCTCCAGCCTTTAGGGTCAGATCGGTACATTTGGCAGCCTAACCTGGACTACTTGGTGGAAACGGGGCTTTGCTGCCTTCAGCCAATAAAGAGAAGAGAGATTTGAGAATGGAGTTCGTGGTGATAGAGCTTTTCAAACCTTAGCACTTAAACGTAATGCTCGACCACATCCCTGCACTCTGCTGAATCTGTCGATGTCTTCAAACATCAGTTAAAAACACATCACACTTAAGAGGCATTTGGTTAATCAACAGACATGTCAATATGTTGTGTATTTTCTCGTTTCTCTTATGCGTCTTAAATTCGAAGTTTGGCTTACTTGGCCATCTTATGTGCCATGTTTTTATTTCTCTATGTTATTATGAACATGTAAAGCGCTATATACATATTTCTTTACTTACAAACGTACTTATGGTTGGGGCCAAAAACTTCATACTTACTTAAATTACAACACGGGCAAACTTATTAAAGGGAATGAGAAGAAAGAAGGCTCAGAGAACGTGAATCTCAAGTTCTTTCCAACATGTAAGACAGATGTGAGGGGGGGTTTTAAGCTACCTCCTTACTCAGAATTATTCATAGGAAAGGAGCATGAATGGTACCCCCCGAGGACATCCTGCTGTATGAATGATGTTTTGACAGAATTTAAGCTCTATCAGCGAGGGGACACCTTTTGTAACTAAAATGTTAGAAGACTTTCACCGGGACAATGAAAACACCTTGCTGACAGACTGGAGAAAGAGAAGGAGTTGCAGACAGCGCCCCTGCTCTCTATCACATTCCCCTCACAGTGTGGTGCTTCTCTGGTAATTTGTCGGCCCGGATTAGCAGCGCAGTACGGACCACTCCTTTTTTTTAATCAGACTGAAACAAGTGTAGAGGAGATGCTCTCATGAGCACTAGGCGGGGCGGAGGGAAGACTGCTGCAGTCTGGATTACTGGTTCTTAAATTACAAGTGGCCACATGGGGAGAGTAAGAAGGCTGAAAAATTGTACTTGTGCAAACTGGCAACTCATAAATCTGACATGCAGCCAAGTAGAGAGGAAGCAGGAATAAAGGGAGCACACACACACATACACAGATTTGAGAACACCCACACAAATGGGAAGAGGGAGGAAGTGAATAGGAAAATGAAGTGGAAGACAAGAGGGGAGGTTCTTCCAGAGGACATTGTAGTTGTGCTCCCGTCCACGACCGACCCGTGCCCTGTCAATTTCATGCTCAGCGGCCCACAGGCAAGCAGCAGTTTGTGTCCAAAGAACGATGTTGAGGGTACGGTTACTTCGTGTTGGTAACAGATGGTGTGCAGCAGACGGACCACCACTACTTTCATCATTTGATATGATCTATTACTTTATCTTATAGGAGAACCAAACAGCCAGAGCAGGCAGGCTGCACATCAGATTAGTGTTGTGCGATATAACAATCTTAGATCGCGAAGGATTTGAACATGCTGACGATCTGCCAAAGCAGAGAGATCGTAGAACCGGGCTTATTCTATCATGCTGCGGTTTATGCTCCTACACAGACGTGTCTCCCCCCCCCTCCGCAGTGGTGAAAACAAAACTTAAGAGTAGCTTCAGTCCGCAAAAACAACTCCATCCCGGTTATATGCAACTGCTCTGATACTTTTCTAAACCAACACGGCGTGAGCAACTGTTAATTTATCTACATAGTTTGCACAGTTAAGGTTTATATCTCGGATAGCGACACAAGAAACCGTCTAACGAGCCGAAGAGACATTAACAGTCTGCAGAGAGTCAGACAAAGCGGAGCTCAGACAGTCAGTGATGGGAGATATAACCCCAGTGTTTAAAATGTTAATGTCTGTTTTCTCAACAGTTTTTGAAAGTTTTTAATCAAGCCTCTCCACCCGAAGCTCACCTGTTGTGATAACCAAACCTATAAGGATTAGACTTAACGACGTTACAGGTGAGAGTGAGTAACCATGGTGACTGTCTGTCTGTCAATCAACAATGTCCCGTCCCCTCTATGAATTAAACTCTTCTTTCAGTAAAACTTACTTTGATCATGTGTCACAGAATGAACACATTCTGTATTATGTTTGATTAGGCCTATATATATAAACAAAACTAAAGTTAGTCCAATAATGTCGTAAAAAACAACAAAGGCTGCAGAGCCTGTATGAAGCTACAGCTGGAGGAACTCTGCAGGGTTAAATAGAACAGAAACACAAGAACCTGAAGTCTACATGTTTTTAAATAAATGCATCACTGCGTGAAAATGTTCCCATTGAACACAAAAAGAGGACACATTACTAAATCATAATTTCAAAGTGGTGAGGAAAACCTTCAAATTGTGCATAAATATTTATCAAATTGAGGGAAAGACGAATCTGGTGCTAAAAATGTTCTGGGTGGGAGACCTCCAGACCTCCTACAAACATGTTTTTCAAATAAACTAAACTTGTCAGCACAGTTTTTGTGCATTTAAAAACATCATACAGGGAAATAAGTTTGGTTGAACTGGTCAGTAACTAAAATTAGTCTTAATTTTCTTAAGTCTTAAGAATCGTGATAAAATCGTGACAGTGATTTAGCCAAAAAAATCGTGATATGACCTCTACATCAGTTAAAACCTCTTCACGTGTAGTGTCAACATTGACCAATGTAACTTTAAAGAACTATTTTCATATCTATATTTACACTACTGAAGCTAATAGGTCACCACTTAGATAAAAAAATCCAAACAGTAGAGTTGTTCAAGCCTTGTCAACCTGCCAGCTCCACATTAAGGCCCACCATTCCAAAAGACATCAAGACCCAATAATGTATGGTTTTAGTAAAAAGTATGATTTAAGCTGTTTAAAAAAAAAAAAACACTCCTGAAAATATCCAGATATTCTCCTGACCACGCTGTTCACACATGTACCTCACAGCTGGGGACTATCCCTGTCAGCCCTATTAAATGTCCAGATCTGCCAACATGGATCCCCCCCACAGCCTTTCGTCTAATCCTGGCTTCATCTCAATGCTTCAAATCCATTTATCTTACCTGTGTGGCCATCTTGCCGTAGTCCACCCAGCGCAGGGTGGCGAAGTTTGTGGACTCTGCACAGTTGAAGCCGTGGTTAAAGCCAGCATGGTAGCCATAAGGAAAGGTGATCATAAACTCCCCTTCATTCTGAGTTATCTGTTCAGGGAGAGAGAGAATACAACAGTTATGGATTTAACATTTGTAATATGTACATGGACACAAATGGAAGAACATCGCTGAAATTGTCAGTTCTCTCTCTGAATGAAGTGGAAGAAAATCCCGGGGCTGCATTTATGACTACACTGCAGTGGTGAGCGCAGAGAAGATAAGCATGTGTCTCAAGAATCAGCTGCCTTTACAAAACAGCATCTATTATTTAGGACCAATTACATTTTTTTTTAAATCATTTATTAGTTTGTTCTGTGGTCAATACTATCTTCATCAAATTTGTAAATGTGGTAGCTTCTTGACATGCTTGATATTATTTATTGTGCACTTTTACTTTTGTTAGTCAAAAAGACTCCAAAGCTAAACTTGCTTTTTGTCTTTGAAGACATGAAATCGTCAATGAAAATCCATAGTCGGGGGTTAATGACATATGTAGACTCTTTCCTTAGAATACTTTTTAAATAATGTTTAACTTCTTCTATTATCTTATTCATCTTACAGCTGCACTCACCAGTTCCCTGTCTGTGTACAAAATCCACAGTTTTCCTTATTCATGACCTAATTGCATCTGTGACTTGACAATTGCAAATACGAAAAAACTTATCTTATTTCATTCTTAAGTATAACTCGTCAAAATAAAACTAAAAAGCAATTGAGGCTTTCGGAGTTCATCTACTCAGTATAAACTTTTTGGCTAAACTTTTCTGACTTGCGAGCAAAATGAATTCATCCGAACATGAGTCATGACTGCTGAGTGTTGAGTGTCTTCCCATGAGCTCCGTGTTATTCTGAGAGTGTTTAAAAATGTGAGGACAAGTTAAGCACGTTCTTTTTATTTAATGCCATGCCCCAAAACTTAAGCCCTGTGTGCCTGGCTGAGGATCTCAAGTTCTCTGTGAAGCCTGGATCCAGGCAATCAAGAAACACATCAAGCCAGATAAGGTGACAGACATGAGAGCAGAGACAGGGGGTTGAGGCTGAGAGCGCGAGATAGACTTCCTCAACTAAAAGGCAGCAGTACAGATATCAAACACGCTTTTTGCTCTTGCAAGAACGCCAAGAAGGCGGTTTTATTTTTAAACATGAAACGAGAGTTGTACTGTAGGTGTGTAACAAGTTATATGTTCGCTGTGATAATGACGTCCTGAGGGGGGAGCAAAGAGACAAATAGGAGGGTGTGTGTGGGGGGGGGGAGGACCCTCTCCTGACAGTGAGGAACTTTGAAGGGGGGAAAAAAATGGGACAGAGCAGGCATACAGTCTTTCATTAATTTTGCACGGTGAGGATTTGTATTACCTACTGAATAGAGCAGAAGCAGAAAAAAGCCAATTAATGAGACGCATCGACACAACAGAGGATCAGTACGTACACTGTATCATTAGCACAGACTGTAGCAGTCGTGAGGTCTGCTTTGAGGCCACTAACCTCTGCTGTGGTGGCATTCAACATTTAAAATAAGCCCACCCTAAAGATACACACACCTGAAAAAATACACAAAAACGTCCAAAAAATATTTTAGAAGTTCTGCATTTCAAGTTTAATACCAATGCCTTTGCCATATATCTCTGTGTAACAGATGATATGTGTGCAGAAGTTAAAGTGGACTCTAAGACAGAAACGTTTTGGGGGGAAAAGACGTTGTTGACTCGACAGCTTCAAAATTTGCACGTTACCGCTGTTAGCCACCATCGACTGAAGTCACTTGATTTGGAAGAGATATACAAAAGTCCTTTGAGCCACAGTTAAGACAGTTAAGAAACGAACATGGGCTGATGAGAGACGTTGTTTCAACTCTTTTTTTTTTTTTTTTTTCAAAAGAATGCAAGTGGCTTCACTTTTTTACATGAGATGTCGTGATGTGATTGTCGTGATTGTCATTCAACGCTGTCTGGAATAAACACGGAGACAACAACAGAAGACACCGTACTTTTTTTCAGGGAACAAAGAACATGTGCTGTTACTGAATTTCACTCACCCTGTCGAAGGGAATGCCATATTTCTTCAGGATGGATGGAGATATCAGCGTCATCTTGTGGCGAAGGAAGGCGTCACAGCCTTGGCAGCTTCCAGGGAAGAACCCTGCACAAATAGGGTGACGACAAATAGAGAGCATTTAAAACAATTCACTGATAAAAACACAGGAAATACTAAAATATCAACATATAAGAAGAACCTGAAGCACTACAACAACAAACACTATGCTGTTTACACATACGGGAATCATGGGAGTTCTCTCTGCTACTCATACTATCATTTAATAAGAAGTGTCCATGACTCCTCTGTTTAGTGATGGAAGCCGCTTTAGGAGAGTTTTTTGGCAGTTTGAGAAGAGGGATGAGTTGGCAGGTTAGTATTAAGAAATGACGTATAAGCTGTGCCAATTCAAGAAGACTTCTCCAGTCCTAAGTTACCCGTTTATTTACTTGTTTCATTGTTAACCCTGAAACCCAGAAAAGGAAATCCGGTTCCCAGTTGACATGGGCGTGAATTCATTTACTGCCAGAAGTGTGGAATAATCCCATTACCACAGCGCATGTAAATGTGTTGTTTGCGTGCTCCAGGTTGGATTATGGGAGTAACAGCTGGATTGTGTTGTGGCACAAAAGGAGTACAGCAAAAAACAGGAATGGCTGCCGCCTCTTCTGAATGAAATAATGAGCCTATGCTGCACAGGATAGATCTACTTAAAAGGAAATAGTCTGCACAGATACTGCATTATCATTTGAAGAAGCAGCAGTTCAACCAAGCTTGGAAGACAGAAGCTACAGACTGACTTAGGCTTGGTCTGAATTATTTCACTTGTCATGATGATTCCCTCACAAATATAAAGTCTGTAAACTCGTGTACTTTAATTATTGACGTCTGTGCTCTCCTTAGAACAACATCTGACCTTACATAAGCACCCGATTTGTATTCTGTGCTTTTGTAATGTTTGCAGCTAGTACTACTTCTAAATCTGATCCAAAGCAGACTTGTGTAGATGCTGAAATTTTGCAACGTCCCCCTCTTTGTTACAAAACAAGCAACCCACTTCCTTAAAGACACAGACTGCTTTGAGATCATTATATACCCCTCTGACATTTAAGGGTTTCAAAGCCCCAACTCTCTCTCTCTCTCTCTCTCTCTCTAAAACAAAGGCTCACTTTTTCTCTGGGAGACAGAGAGGCTCAGACGGCCTCTGCATAATCAAAAGCCAGAATTTCTCTTCCATCCCTTTTCTCTCCCACTCTGTACCCGCCGGTGCCTCAAAGGGGGGTCCATCCAAGCCTCCACCGAGTTAAACTTTAATGTGACTGACAGTATAATCGGCGCCCATTTCATCCTTCATTTTCCCTGCATTGTTTCAGCCTCTGTTCAACCCTACAAAGCAAGAGAGGGATAGAGAGCCTCTATTCTCTGATCGCCGCCTGCTTGTTGGAGCTGATAAAGGTGAATAATGTGCCGGCAGAGCCCGGGTATTAATCCCCATTAAAATGCAGCTGGCTCTCTGAACTCTCTGCAGGGTAATATTAACTTAAAGGCTTCATTCTGTCCTTTTGAGTTTGAAAATTAAGTTCCTGCCTCCAACCGTGCACCCTCCCCCTCCCATCCCCACCCCTGACACCCAAATGAGTCTGCAGTCATGACTAAAATAATGCAGAGATGAGGAGTGATAAGAGCGGCGGCTGAAGCTGTGCCAAATGTTTGGAGAGGAGTTTTCAAGTAACAAGACCGTTGTCCCGGCCCCATAATGTGCCCCTCCTACGCCCATTACCCGTCTTTTTAGGGACGTCGTAAACAGTTGGCTACCTGTGCTGACGAGGGCTTTGATAGGTCAGTGGGTGCTTGTTAAATAACATTGGCATCGCTTTCCTCCCACTGCCAGCTGCTTAGATAAGAGGAGAGAGGAAGGCTGCAATCCGGCTGTGACTGAAAGCTCAACGCCAACATGGAGAGTGATAAGAAATGTCTACAGTGTGTATTTGGACTTTGGGGCTGGACGGCATTTCATCAACTAATGAAAAGCAAGATCTATTCAGAACTCTTTTGAAGCTGATTTCACGTACTTAAAGGTTTAGTTTAACAGTCTCACTGAAATACAAACAACATCAGAGCATGAGGTAAATTATAGTAGAGCAATCTAGTTAATCAGCTAGAGAAGACTAACAAGCCTCTCTTATGTTTTAATTTGAAGTACTGTAACAACACTGACAGGATGAACATTGCACATCAAAGCAGCATCCGTTTACCCGACAAGCAAAGCAGTATTTGAAGACTAAATCTGCTCCGATCAGTGAACAACTTCAATAATTAGGACCATTTAATCACTACTGCGAGGTGAATATCATCAGCAAGCACATCAGAAGTCACAACAATTTCGGCTCTGTGACTTTCAGATTGGCAATGAAGAACATCAGAGGCTGCAAAACTAAAAGAACTCAAAAGAAAACATTATCACTGTTCATAATCTCTGACTCGAATCAGATCTACCGGTATGTTAGTCAAGGCATCAAATTGAGAGCAGGTGGAGCCGTTGTTGATGCTGAGTTGTGTTTCCCTGGTGTCACATGAAGTCCACTCACACAGCTTAAGCCAGTGTGCATGCCCGCTTCCATCGCTGCAACACCTGCTGGTTTGCCGTGATAACTGGTCTCATACCTGGCAAACGTGTCGTGTGGAGGTGCCTTAAAACCGCCTACCTTCTCTGGTCAAAGCAAATACAGACCATTCAGGACCAGAATTGAAACTTAGCAGGAGGCTATACTGACTGCCGCAGTGTTGTTAGATTGAATTCAGAAGAGATCTTACATATTGCTCATTTGAAGCCCCAGAGAATAATAAAGATTAATATTGTTATTCCAAGAAATGTTCTTCATAAAACATGCTGCATTTATTTGACAGATTTGCCTGCATCTTTGAAAATTGATAGAAATATTGCAGAAAACAGAAACGGCAATGTTTGTTATTCCAACATAAAGCAGCCCTACTGACTACATCGCTTGTCAGTCACACATTGTTCATCAAATATTTTGAGCCTCTTCAGCACAAGAAAAGGACAGCAGGTGACAGAGGCTATTCGTTGGTGATTATTGATTTGTTCTCTGCTCTTCACAACAACAAGGACAAACAGTGTGTCTATTAAATGTTCTACAGACTGGGCAACTCTCCATCATCATCATCCCTGCATTTTACACCTTGGCCTGAGCAACATGCAATACACGAGTTAATCCTTTATTGATCAAAAGAGAGGATGGAGGGAAGAAGAGGGAGAACAGGGTTGGTGGATGTGAAAAGGAAAGGCGCAAGGAGAAATGATAGGGCAGAGCGAGCCGAAGATTGTTGAAGAAAAACTCAAGTCAAAGTGGTAAAAAACAATTTCAGGCTGATTATTTGAATTTGGGACTTAACCTTGGGATATTCAAGTTTGTCATCCACTGCGTACATGCAAAACATTTTTCAGTGTGAGGTCTACAGGGTATACAGCACTTTCCATTGTGAGGAGCACTGGGAGAGAAAAACTGGGATCTGCAGAGTGGGGTATTTATTGTGATGTGAAAAGGGTTCTTAACAGTACTGTGCATGATGTAGCTGAGTAAAAGTTTGCTTTCTAATCTCTAAAAGGGTGAACATGTAAGTGTAGTAAATATATGTTGGACATGTGTTCAGTGTGTAGGACAATGAGCAATAAAAAAAAAAAAAGAGGGATTTTATATGAAATAATTTTCAGAACCTTACCTTGTGCCAACCTCTCCAGCCTCTTGCCGTGCTCAGGTGGGATGGCATACCTGCAGAAAGAGAGACATTTTTTTTTCAAATTGCACTACTGAAACAAGGCAGGCAGCTGAAGGGGACAGATGTCTACATCAATGAACACTTTATATTTTTTCGCCATTATCAGCTTTCTCCATAGAGCCTGTTAGCATAGCTTCCGTTACGTTTTGATTCGGGGAGTGAGTTCCCACCCACTGATCTGTGATAGGTCTGTAGCTTCAGTGGTCGAAAATATGAGGAACTAGCCTTGTAGTTTCACCCCGCTAACCGCAAAATCGTCATTTTGCGTCACTGGAAGCTCCTTTTCAAACTTAGAAATACAAAGATTTCCCATCTCAGTTGAAAATGAGGGCGGGATGCACGACCATTCAAACATACTACCAGGTTTCCAGAGATACAAAGCTTAATGCAAATGGGTGAAGTATCCCTTTAAGGTATGCGGAAATAAAAAGAACTGAAATCTACAATAGGCAAACTGATTTCATTAGAATTTGCTTAAAATAACTCTCTCTCTCTCTCT